AAGAATTCACTTGAGGAATTTTCACCTTCTAAAGTCTAATAGTTAAACACAAAAGTCTATAGGACCCTTGTTGATTTTTTCCAAAGACATGAAAGTGCCAATGTTCAAGTGACATCCCCCCCCCATTTAATTGAGTGAAACAATACCCCAAAGCTAGCTTCCCATGTGATCCAAGAAACCTATACTGGCTTTTTTTATACCTTTTCTTTTTGTACTGCCCCAGTTTTGAACTTATTGTAACTAAGATTTCTATCTCACCCAATTCTATTTTCTCCAAAAGAAATTATAATGATATATAACAAAAATTCTCCCCAAAGTGAAATAAGCATATAAAAAGAAAGGAAAGAAGGAAGAGGGAAAGAAACCCACTTAAACTAATAACTGCGGTTATTTACAGGAAGGCGAATGTGATGAGGGCAAAAGTGATGAAGAAAAAAAAGAAACTTTTATTCCATATACTTTATTACTGCATAACTTTGCTTACTGTAATCATATTTGCTTAAATCCTTGTAATAATTTAGACACTAGTAAAATGTATATTTGATCTTGCTAAGTAAAAGACATTTGTTTTCAAATTTGGAATGAAACTTAAAGAAGGAAGACAGGACCATCTCTATGGCCTAGTTAAGTACAAACCACAAGAAAAAGTGCATCCTATAAATGTCTCCATTGCCTGAATTAAGCTTAGGAATAGTACTCGAATGAAATAAAACCAAGCTGTGTAAAAATGCAAAATAATCCAATTCTTTGTTATGTCTCCCACCCCACCCCGTCAAAAAAGAATGAACCACTGCTGTTCTTTAAAGTGTCATAAAGATTCAGGTCGGTTATGGTGCTCCCCTGGATAGGCTTCCGCTGGTAATAAATGGTTTTCTGAGAGGTTTGAGTTAAAGCTCTTATGTAAATAGAGGCTTACATAATGCTCTTTAAACAAGAACTTTGAAGACAATCTGCAGCAGGCATACGAAATCTGTCTGTGCTGCAAATGGCATCTGAAAACTGACAGGAAACCATCCAAGATGCAGTTTAAGAAACCAGGAGGAATAAACAGTGCAAGTTTCTGATAATTTAAACTTCAGCCATTACCAGAGAACATAGAAAAGCTATTCCATGAGGTTCAGTAATAAGGTTATTAGCTGGTCTATATTTTCATGAGTGGTCCGGAGTATTATTAAGTGTAAATTACTACTGAAATTCTACACGGGCTAGGGCAGGAGTGCGTCAGACGGTGCAGGTTACCTCACTATGAGCACCATCCTAGGCAAGATGTTAAACTGCTATTTTTCCAATTTCTAAAGGAGTAACCAGTTTGGAGCAGAGGCAGGCTCCACGGGGGCGCTGAGCGGGAAGGTTGCGTCTACGTAAGACACACACCGTTCAAACCACCCGAGCTTCAGAAGGGACAAGATGGAACCGGGGCGGCGAGCTGTGCTTCTGAGCCCGAGGAGCACGACTAAAGTTCTTGCCCAAACAGCTACTGCGTTTGGAGTCTGTGAACTTTCCAGGAGAACCCATTTCTCTACCAAAACTGAGCCCCCTTTTTTGGAGACATTTCTCTACATTTTGAGAAGAAGGGGAGGACTGTACTGCATCCGTTTTCCCTCCCATCTCGTCCTTACTACCCCACCCTCACTCCCTCCACTCGGACGCCCGCCGCGAGCACCGGGGAGGGCGAGCAGGCGCCGCAGCGAGCGCCCAGTTTCAAAGGTCGCCAAGCTTGCCAAGAGCCCCAGGCTGTCACAGGGCTGCGGACCGCCACCCCTTCCGGACCCTAAGGCTCTGTCCCACAATCCGGAGGCTAGAATTTCACCCGGGGAACTGAGACGCACAAACTTTCTAGCCCCAGAGATGGGATGGGCTTTCAGACCTATTGCAAGCCTGGGAACTGGTACAACCCGGGCGGGTGAGGGAGTTCGAGAAGTAACCTCCTACTCGGGGCGTGCGATCCGGGGGCACCCTCACTCCTTCCGCGGCCAGGGCGCGCCTCCCGGAGCCCGCTCGAGGTCTGTCTGTCCTGGCCGAGCCCCTCCTCCACCATCTCCGCGCACATCCACCAGTGCACCCCGGCCGCCCGCCAAACCCGAGGACGCTGGCAGAGCCCCCCGCCTCTGCCGCGTCTGCTAATTTTCCTGGAGCACCCCCCTTCCCCCGCCACTGAAGTCACTATTTACGACCGCGTAGACTCGAGCTCACGCACGCCTGCCCTTTTCCCAGAAGCCTGAAAGTGGCTGAATGGAAACACTGACACGTGAAAATTCTATTCTGAGTGACTTAGAATCGGCCGCCTTGAGGTTTTAATCGTGCTCGATTTGTCCCGCCCAGTGTTCAGGGCAGCGGTCCGAAAGGTCCCCACATTTTTTACTGTCCCTTGGGGAAGCTGTGTCGAAGAGAAAGGGCGGAGGGGCAATGGAAACGTGAGAGGTCTGGGGCCACAGAGTGTATCTAGGAGGAAACTCCGAATCTTCAAAGAATTTAAGCCCTCGTGCATTGTTTCCAAACCAAATCTACTGGGCAGTATTCTTGTGAGTCCTGGAACAGCCAGATCGCGACTTGGGATCCAGGAGAAGGAACCCCTAGCCACCTGCCTTGGGGGAGGGGCGGTGCGCCTCCAGAGCCTGCCTTTTTCTGCTCTCTCCCCAACAGCAACAGGTATTCAAATGCGGCGACTTCTCCTCCCTCCCGGACCACCCTCCGCACGGCTGTGGCGCGCCCGGTGTTCACCCCACACAGGGTCAAGCAGAGGCCGGGCTGGTCACACCCAGCGAGGGAGCCTGTAGCCAGCCGAGTGTGAGATTTTGAAATGTCAGGGCACCGCTGGCAGACAATCCTCTTATAGACCTCTTCAGGAGGAAATGAGTGCTGTTTTCTTGGCTTTTGGCTGTCCTTCCCCTCGGAAGAAAACCCCACTCCGTTCGAAAGACAACAGGTCAGATCAAGTTGCAACTTTGCACTTCAAGCTTTGGTGTTTTTACGATAAAACACTCCATTCTGCATTCTGGCTGGACCTTCGGGACTTCGGCTGTTCACAGTTTTCCTGACCTGAGACTCTATTGGCGGCCCAGCCCTTTTGGAGTAGCTGTGACTGCTACCTGAGGGCCACCCACCAAGCTATCTGGGCATGGTGGAAAGTCAGATTCATTCTCCATAACACGACCTCCAAAGAAAGAAAGCAAGCAGTGGGAATGGTCACTAGATGTTCCCCAACCCTGACCTCAAATAAGGAAAAGCCTCAGTTTCTGACTGCCTGCACTTGGCATTGTATTCCTGAAAGTGAAAATAGAAATTGTTTGATGTATGAGGAGATGTTATCTAATTAGGGCGTAAGAAATTTAATCTTTCCACCACGTAGGTCATATAATTAATGTTAATTTAACACCTAAATTCTCAGTCATTAATTTTTATTCTCTTAAATGCAGTTTGGCAGGGGCTTCTGATCCATGGCAATGGGTTTTACTGGATGTGAGAACACTCTTGGTCTTAGGAGTGACTCACTGCAAACCCCATCCCAATAACAAGATCACATCATGTATGCATTATTAAGCCACATAATTGAACGGTCCATAGTTTGCATATCAGACTATTAAAATAATGTGTTTTGCTTTTCTCTGAACACGTATTGTTCAAGCCTCTGCGAATGTGTGGTGATTCTGATAATTATCTCCAAATTACTGCAAATGTTCTCTTCATTAACATGATTTCTTTCAAGCATTTTTAAAATGTGAATATCATTATGAATTAAGGAACTTCTTATAAAGTTATGTGAACTTTTTTTTAAATGAATTTATCTTTGGAAAGGAAATGATATATTTTAAATGGGGGGAACTAGAGAAATGCTTTTGACAGTGCCTTTCAAATGACTTCCTTGGACCAAATAAAAGTTTTTCTCTCCAGTTTTTCCAAGAAGTTTGAAAGCAACAGACAGAAACACAAAGAGAGAAACTAAAGGTGAAGGAAAGGAGGTGTGTAGCTTTAAAAGTCACTGAAGAATGAGAGAGATTGTTTTAAGGTTCCTACTACTTACCTCCTTTGGTGTAGGTAACCTCACAACTTAAAGCTTGTTTTCTTACCTAGAATAAAGTACATTTCTCCTTTTTAAAATTACCAGCTCAAAATTTATGAATCCAATAGTTAACAATGAACTAAATATTGTTATCCCCCCTCCTTAGTAAAATAAAATACACTGTTGGGGAAATTATAAACCCTGAAAGCTGTCCTTGTAACCTCCCCTTCACACAGTTTTCAAAGTTGAATAGCAAGACATTTTTTTTAAACCTGCAAAACAAGAATCTCTTGATTGTGATAAATTTGCATCTATATTACTTTCGAATACAGTTTTCCTTTTAATGGTATCTGAACTTCCAATATATGGCATTCTGCCGTGGTACTGTCGTTCCTTCCCTGTACACCCGTTGGTGCTGCACGCCGATCCCCTCTCCTCAGAGGGCGCTTTCAACGCGGAATCCCTGCCTTCAACTCCAGTGGAGGAGGGATTTCAATCACGATAGTCTTCGGAGTTTGAGAAAGTTGTAGGATTTTTCTTAAACAAAACGGGGGGGGGGGCATGACAGCTGTGGACAGAGTACGCGGCTAACAGCAGCAGTGACCAGCCTAGCTGTTCCCTGCCAAGTGAGACACTCCCCCCCTCCCCTTGCTCCTTGCTGGGGTCCTCTGGGCCCCTCTTCTGGAGCCTGTAGGCAGCTCTCGGGGTAGGAGTGCCAGGCCCCCAGCGGCACTTTTATTTTGGCTTCGAGAAAGGAGCGCGGCTCCCAGGCCCAGGGGAAGCGAACTGAGCCCTTCTGTTTGGATTTCCCTCCTCTCTATAGCAACCAGCAGCGTCCGGACAAAAATGCGCCCTCCCTGGACAATGGCCCGGCCTTTGCTTCTAGCCCTAGTCTTCCTTCCCCGGATAGCAGCCAGGACCTGCCAGGGAGCTCCGCGGCCAAGCCCCCCCGCAACACCCTCACCCCACCCCCACACACCCCTTTCTAATCTTCTCTCTGGCAGCCTCACTAGAGGTCCGCGGGGACTTTGGGACCCCGCAGACCCTTCTTCCTACTCTAGCTAATCCCGCGTGCAGACGGAGCCGGGACACTGGATCTCCCCACGACCTCTAGGGCTCTGACAGCTGAGATCTCCTCGGAATTGGGGGTGGTTGGAGAGCCCTGAGGAGCACAAACTCAAGCTTTTATCGGAGTTAGAAAAATATATTAGAATAATGCATAAAGCAGACTTTACCTCCCACCCAGCTTCGGGCGCACCCCCCCCAGACGTAAATAAGCACCCTAGACTGAGGTCCTAGGCGTGATCTCTGACTTTCTTTCACTCTCTCAAGGTTAATTAAGTTCCCTTCCACGAACTGAGCTCGGCGCCTATTCATTATTCTCTCTCTTTGACCTAGGGCGTTAATATGATCAGGCCTGTGACTCTGCCGTGTCCTGTTTTCTTATTTTGCATTTAATGCTGGAACCCGGCTGCCCTAGATTATCATCGAAAACTCTAAGAAAAGACAAGCGAAGCAAGGGGATCTCACTGCTTCAATATGTCTGAGGCTTCTCTTTCTGCATCTTTTTCCAGCGTTCCAGTCTTTTCATTCCCAGGACCCACTTTCTGGTAACCTGTCTTTAAAAAATATCATCATTCTTAACTTTATTATGTGCAGATGTGCTTAGAATGACACATCTGAAACTCAGAGACCTAATGTGAAGTGTTGGCCCATGGTTACCACCACCGTGGTTTACTGCTCTAAAAACAAACAAACAAACAAACAAACGCTGTCCGCATCCCCTTCACACACACACACACACACACACACACACACACACACACACACAGAGACACACTAAAGTGTACTCATACACTTTAGAAGATAATTGTATTTGTGTTCTATGTATCTTGAATAAAGAAAACTGAAGTCAAACTTCAATGAGCCTGTTCCCCCCTCACCCTTGAAAATAGCTTCATTGAAACAACTAAGCCTATTCCCCCTTTCCAACCCCACTTCCCAACCTGTACACACGTGTGTCCTGCTACCCTTGCTTTCAGCTTCTCAGTCTGCTCCGGATGATGAAAGAAGAAAGGAGATGCTGCAAGGGCTCCATCTCAGTACATTTCCAATGTTTTAGAGCTAAGAAGGTTTCTGCTGAAATCACTAATCCATCAAAGAGTTGTCATCCACTCCTGGTGGCCACTATCCACCTGCTTTAAGGTTAGGAGAAGAAAAACACCTTCACATTCCATTGTTAGGAAGTCACTGAAGTGTTAGCCCTTTGAAACTGAAATTTCAGGAAGATGACCTAGGGGCCACAAATCACCTCCTGTTCTGTTCCTGAGATTTCAATATAAACAAGCTGTACTAACTTTTCTAAGTAAATTTATCTTAAGACATTACTGGAATGAGTCTTTTATGCTATCTCCTGCCTAAGGCCTCCCATTCACCACTCAAAATTTAGCAAGCTTCCTTTGATAAATTACTCAAAGTAATCCCTGAAACAGCTAGACTGCCTGCGTGATGCAGTATTAGAAGTTTTGAAGACCTGCCTGTCTATAAAATATTCACTTTTGGACTACAAAGAGCAGATCATTTTTAATGATGGGATCCATAGCTTGAAGAAAAGAAGGAAAACGCTTAATATCCATGAATCCAAATAATTTGATTTCAAACACTACTGAATTTAGAATGGTATATTTCACTAGTTTACATAGTAGTTAAAATAGAATTATCTGGGTGTGAAACACGGACAAAGAATTGCCAATCATATACATGAAGTAAGGGATTTCAACTTTCAGAAAATTTACTCTTTCAAAATATTTTTTGAGATGGGGCCAGATGCATATTTAGGAACTTGCAAAATGTAAGTTCAGATAGTAACATATAAATCTAAATGAGAGAATTGTTTTATTCAGGAGATGATGTATTGCTACATAATTAAAATTAATTCTGCCTTTTATATTTTAAGTAAATTTTTATTGTGTCTTTCCCAAGAACTGGCAACTTGGAAATGCATTTTCTCTCCTCCTTATAAACTCATTCCCCAGGGCTACAGTTCTTCTAGCTTTAAGGCAGTTTTCATTAAAGCAGCCAGCTGCCTCTTTGTGTGGATTGGCTGTTTAAAGCAGTTGCTCTGAAGTCGGAGCCTCAGTTTTGACATTCTGTAGACCCTTAGCAAAGACGTACCATTCAGATGCCAGTGGGTCTCCACCAAATCAAACAGCTGCTGGGGCTAGCAGGAGAACAAAAAGCATAATAAGAATGAATGACTGGAACAAGGCTGAAAAGGAGGTGTAAGGTAAAAGAGAAGGAGGAGGAGGAAGAGGAGGAGGAGGGGACTAAAAATCCTTTCTCACAATGGATAGATTTTAAAAATCAATGGGCAATTTTACTCATTTAAACCAGTTGTTACTTGCACTCTTCAGATGGCCATCTCCCAGGAAAATTCTTTGTTTTCTGTCATTCTCTTATTTCTATTATCCCAAGACTACATAAAAAAGAAAAAATAAAGATCTACCAAACGAATGCCAACTCACTCCTGCTTTAATACTTTTGTTTCCAGGTTAAGGTTAGGTGATTATTTTTCTGTCAACTCCGGGTATATAAATATACATAAACTATATTTTACATATGATACCAGTGTGTTTGCTGGATAAACAAGTTAACAAGTTAAAGTTACAGTGGGTGGACTGAAGCCATAATTGTTACTCAAGTGATTCGGAGGCACTTGGGTCAAAATGGTGGTTGCTGCCAAGAACCTGCCAGGTTCAGTATCTCAAAGACCTTTAGAGCTGGAGGGGTGAATATGAGTGTCTGTGGGTGTCTTTTCCGTGTTGTTGATTCCGCTGGGTTTTTTCCCTTTCTGAGCTTCGAACCTGGACAGGAGGGACTAGCACCACTTTATACCAGTTCAGCACAGGACTGTGACTGAGTGGAGTCCTTCCTCCAGCTATAGAAGAACCCATGCTAGCACCAATACCAGATTTCCTCACAGGGTGCCTACAGCCCCCCAGAGGAAGGGACCCAGGGACGTGTCAGTGCGAGAGAGGCCCGCAAGAACTGCAGGTTCAGCCATTGTCCTATGGAGTGAACTCCAGGAGCTGTGCTGGAACGAGAGAGATAGCAAGACACCTTGTCAGTTCAAAGCATTTTAAGGTTGTTTGAAATCCTCTCAGCGTCAACGTATGCAGATTCTATATTTGAACAGCTGCTTTGAACAGTGAAAAAGAATGAGCTAAATCAAAACCTGGAGGAATCTACCCTAGACAACTTCAACGTGCTTTTCTGCGGGCAGAGAAAAGCGGACTAACAGGCGGACTCTGCCCTCGCAGGGCCGGCCCGAAGAATGGCGCCCGCGACCTGGGGAGAGCTGGTGGCGGTTGTGGAGAGGCCGGAGTCTGCAGCAAACCACCTCCGAGAGCCTAGGTTCCTGGAGCCCTAGTGAGGCCCCAGCTGAGAGGCAGACCCGGAAGCTGAGGCTGCTCAGGACCCAGCGTTCGCGCCACCCGGGCCCCCTGCGATTGGCGCAGACGCGGAGGTGGCTGCGGGCGGGGCGGGGGAGGCGGTACCCAGCCCTGCCTGCCCCAAGATTGGTCTTGCTTCAGGGGTGGGGGTGGAGGGTATGCCGAGACTGAGGCCGGTGGGTAGGGCATCGCTTTGTACGCTACTGGGCATTTATTGGGCATATTCAGACTCATCCAGTTGGGAACCGATGGACTCTTTCTACCGCCGGCGAAATGAGGCGGGGCTGAGGGGTGGAGTGGAGACCTGGCACGTCAAAGTGGGAAGGATCTCCGAGTTTTAATCGCCAGCTCAGTCCCATCGCGGACAGGAAGTTTTGATGTATACGTGCATTTCTGCCTCCCCACCACCACCACCCACACACCGGCTCCCTTTGCAAGGAAGGGTAGATGGGGGAGGGGTGCGAGGATGGGGGGAGGGCCGGGAGGAGGGACTTGTAAATTACTCAAAGCCAGGCATCCTGAGTTCCCTCGGAAATGTATCTCAAAACTTCACTCCTGTTCAAGGGTATCAGCGTACAGGCTGTAGAGAGTCTTCTCTAAATCTAGAGGAAAAACAGACACCTGTCCCGAAAGGCGCGCAGAGTTGGGAGCGAGTTGCTTAGTACCCCGGGGCAGCCCTTTTCCACAGCTGGATTCTTCCCACCGGAGGAGCTCTGAGCTCCCGGGAGGACGGAAAAAGAAAATCACCGCGGGCCAGGAGGGACGCAGCTGGCAAGCTGCCTGTGTCCTCAACAGGAGGAGAATATTCAGGGCTGAAGCCCGGAGGACATTGCCTCCTCCGCTTCTAATCCCCTCTGCTCTCTATCCAGCGGACGAGGGCACCAGCCGCTGCGGCTGCGAGCTCTGAGCCTCGGACTTTTAAATTTTTTTCCTGGCCAAGCAAAGTTAACTGAATTCGTAGCAGCCCCCAGGCGCGCGGCTAGAGCAGCTGGGCGCTCGCACTGGGACACAGCGCCACGGTGAGTGTGTCTCAGTCTCGCAGCGCGGGTGCGCGCGTGGGGGGTGCAGGCCCGTCCCGCTGGCTGTCCGTGGGCTTGCCCCTCCCCTAACCATTTTTCCCTCCCCCACACACGATCATAAACACAGGACACGTGGAAATTCTCAGCCAAGACGCCTTGCCCGGGCAGGTGCTCAAAGTGGTGATTTATAAACAGCTCAGCCACTCCCCAAAGAGAAGGGCTCCTCGTTAGTCCTGATGAATTTTCAGGCCCGATCCATTCTGCTGTCCCCATTAAGATGCTTGGAGGCCCCAAAATGCTCCCTCTGAGCGTTGATTTGGCTGCCCTCGAAAGCCTTCGGCCGCTGACAGCATCAAAGCTAGCACCACAAAGCTGGGGCCAGGGGTGAGAGGTGAGGAAGCGATTCACGTCCCCGGGATCTTTCTTTCCCTTCCTGGCTCTAACTTTGGATTCCCTTTAGGTACCCTTGCCGCACTCTTGACCCTGCCCCGAGGTCCCGCTGTTCGAGCCTGAATCCGCGCCTGGCGCACCGCAGCCGGGCTCACAGGCTCCAAGGGTGGCAGCAGCCACCCGCTCCGGTCTGCCGAGAATGGCGCGACGCGCTGGCGCTCCGGTCAGAGGAAGAGCGGCGCCGCGGTCCACCGTCCCGGGCGCGCTCAGGCTCGCTCTGCAACTGAAGGCTGAGCGGGAAGCTAGGCTAGCTAGCCAGCGTCCAGGGGCTTCTTGAGACCGGCCCCACCGCAGAAGTTACTGCTGAGGACGGTCTCCCGAACATCAGTTCCTTTGCTTTCACCCAAGCTCTTTCTCTTTGGAAGCCGCGAACTGAAAAGTTGCACCGGCCGGCTCGAGGGAAGCGCACGCAGCCCCACCGGTGCAGCTTTGCAGAGCGGCCCGCTCGGTCTCTTTCGAATGCCACACCCCTGGCCAGCCCTCCTGTACTCTCAAGCAAGGTGAAGGCTGGCCCTTGAAAGCTCCTACTTTTCTAAACCCAAACCTGCGCACGCGCCCGAATGTGCATCTGACAGACTTTTGGAGTTTTGTTTTCAGTTCGGAGAGCAGCGCTGTGCAAACAGGCAACTCAGAACCTTGACAAGAGTCGCTCAGAAGCCTCAGCCTTGAGGTCAGTCTTTTCCGCCAGAGACTGGAAGGCAGTTGGGCCTGTAGGCAGAACCCGTGCTAGGGGGAGGGGGTGAGGTGGGGAAGGAAGAGACGAAAGGCACCTGTGCCCTGAAATGTTGGCCAGGAAGGGGAGAAAGATTTCAAAGCAGGTAGGGTAAGCCTGGCTCCTCGCTCAAAGAGTAAGCGTCCCTGTTGTGTGTGTATCCCTAGGAGAATGAAAATCCCGCTGGCTCGTTGTGACCCAATCTTTCTCTTCCTCCATCCCTTCCCCGCCCCTTAAAGCCCTATTGAAGAGAAAGTGGACCCCCCCTCCAAAATACACACACACGCACACACATGCACACATACACCAAATCTTCCAAGTGGCGACGGTAGATAAGAGCTCCTGGACCGCCCCCCTGCCTGGCTGCTCCGCCTGGGAGACAGATGGGGGGCGGGGCCCCTCGGAGAGCGGGAGGAGGCTGCTGAGGGTGGGGATGGAGAGGGGGGTGAGAACCCGCAGAATGTGAATCGCGACTCCGGGGGGGGAACCAGGAGGAGGGCTGGAAGGAGGTCCTTTGGGTCCTTGGGGGGGCTCTGGCTCCTGCTCCCGGGACGGTGTCGGGACCTCCCTTTCTTCCTCTCGGGGGTCCGGGAACGGGACCGCCAAGAGCAGGACTGCTGGCTGCGCCTGCGTTCTCTGTCTCTGTCTCTGCCTCTGTCTCTGTTTGTGTCCCAACCCGGGTCCCGGTCTGGGTCCCGGTCCTGGCCCTGGCCCTCTGTGGCGCTGGGCCCCAGGGCCTCCAGCTCTCTCAGGACATGCACGGCGACCTCCACATCATCCTCCTCCAGCATGGCCCCGGAGGTGATGGAGGCGGCGGCGGCGGCGGCAGCAGTAATAGCAGGAGCAGCCACAGAAGGCGTCGGAGCGGGCGTCGGAGCTGCCCGCTAGGGGGGCGAGAGAGAAAGAGAGAGAGAGGAGCGAGAAAGAGGGCGAGCGAGGAGAGGGAGCTCGAGGCGGAAAAGTAACTGTCAAATGCGCGGCTCCTTTAACCGGAGCGCTCAGTCCGGCTCGGAGAGTCATGGCGACCGCAGCGTCTAACCACTACAGCCTGCTCACCTCCAGCGCCTCTATCGTGCATGCCGAGCCGCCCGGCGGCATGCAGCAGGGTGCGGGGGGCTACCGCGAGGCTCAGAGCCTGGTGCAGGGCGACTACGGCGCGCTGCAGAGCAACGGGCACCCGCTCAGCCACGCT